TTATATGGCCCCGGTTCTGCACAGTATATATGTGACTGTACGAAAATGAAAATGGAAAATAAAAACACATTTACACAGAGTTGTGATCATGAGTCGAGGACTACCTGTAGAAGGTAGCTTGCAGAAGAGCTGGTCAATTTATGGAGGCTAGAAATCCAGTTTCAAGAACAGCTCTTTCCTAAGTTGTATCACCAATGATCTTGTCTCCATGCCTTTGAAGGACTAACCAACCAGGACTAGGAAAGGATGGGGAAATGCATGTGCGACCTCCCCCATGCTCCCTCTGCCCACCCCACCCCCCATTTTGGGTCTAGCAGGCCTCCCTGAAGCCCCCACGCTCCCCTACGCATGTATGTATGACCCCTGCCCCCTGCGCATGCATCCGTGTCTCCCGCATGCACCCCGACCCTGCGCATACGTGGCAGAGTCCCAAAAATCAGCTGGCTGGCAGGAAGCGCCCGTGTGCATGCACGGTCGAGTTGAGCTGGGCAACGGCTCACATGCCCGCAGAGAGGACCATAGGTTTTCCATCATGGGGCTAGTTTATGACTTTAGAAAGGATAATAAAATATTGTAGTTTTAAAATAAAACCCAATAATAGATGATGTATTAAAAATTATTTAACACTTTGGTGGTGGTGATCGTGTCCATGTGTGATGGAATGTAGTCTGGATTCCCATGAGGGAGGGAGCGGTCACTAAATGAATGGCTGTACATGAAGGACTACCTGTAATAATATCGTTACCTTTTTCATTGTCTGCCTTGTTATTTATGGTACTGTAAGTCGCTCGATAGTGAGATGTTCTGAATTTAGATTTAATAAATAAATAAATAAAAACAAGTAAATAAAAAATACAAAGTCTCCTTTGTTCCGTGCCGTCGTAACTTTAAATGGTGACTAAATGAACTGTTGCAAGTCGACGACGATCTATAACCTGGAAGGAAGTGTTTTTACGCCTCAGGATAGGAAGCTTCAGTTGCATTTTCAACAGCTGGTTAGGAAATGAGAATAAACCCCGCAAATTGGAAGCAATTGTTACCTGGAGAGATTTCGTGCCAGTTCATCCAGCAGCTTGGCATGCTCTTCTGCCAACTCCACCTTCTGGATCTTGTTGCTCGCCAAGGTGTACTCCTTCGCCTTCTCGGATAGAGGGTATCTGGCTCCATCTAGCTGAGCTAGTAACTTCTCGGATTCCTGAAACACAATAGAAGCATTGGCCCCCATTCAGAAGACCTGCCTGAAGTTGAAGTCCACATATCTTACAGATGCTAAGATTGGGACACACTGGCTCAGATTATTATTGTGGGCAGGCCTCAGGTGTTTGGATAGTCTTCATAGCTCCAATTCTTTGGAAATTCTTCAGTCAGAAAGAGAAGTTGTTGAAGGAGAAATGCCTGTAGTCATAACCTAACAGGTTCCTATTCCGGTGTTTCTCAGCTACTTGGACTTCACCTCCCAGAATTCCTCAGGCAGCCGTGCTGCCTGAGGAATTCTGGGAGTTGCGTTCCATACATCTTAAAGTTATCAAGGCTGAGAAATACTGATCTGCCCCAAGTGGTATTCTGAAATATTACCTCAGGATCAAAAAAAGTCAACACGTCTCCTCTTCCTCCCTAACTTTAAAAGCTTTTTCCTTGTGTAGTTTTCATGAAACTGTTACAGGTAGTCCTGGACTTACGATCATAATTGAGCTCAACATTTATGCTGTTAAGTGAGACATGTGTTAAGTGAGTTTTGCCCCATTTTACAGCCTTTCTAGCCACTATTGTTAAATGAATAGTTATTAAGTTAGTAACACGGTTGTTAAGTGAATCTGGCTTCCCCATTGACTTTGCTTGTCAGCAGGTCGCAAAAGCTGTTCCCCTGACATCAGGACACTGCAACCGTCATAAATATGAATCAGTTGCCAAGCATCCAAATTTTGATCCCCCTGACCACGGGGATTAACAGATTTTAACAGATTAATAGAGTTGGAAGGGACCTTGGAGGTCTTCAAGTCCAACCCCCTGCTTCAAGTCCAACCC